AGAGAGAGAGAGAGAGAGAGAGAGAGAGAGAGAGAGAGAGAGAGAGACGAGCTGACTGAAATCTTGAAATGCAAACTAGGCCAGAAACACATGCAAAACAATGCGGTCGATTGAGGCCATAGCATTCCAAAAGTATGCACAATTGTATGAAAAAAAAAAGTTTCGTATTTGATTGGCGGGGCCGTTCTCTCAAACTCATCGACATTTTGCACCGTTTACACAACAATCGGTGGCACAAAACCCCATCTCAGAAGCGGGCGTAAGAGACAGGTATATGTCTCCCTCTCTGTCTGATACACATATTCACTTAACCGAGTTGCAGCTATTTGATGTCTATGTCGTCTCCAGTTTCCATATGTTTACGCATTCATCCAGTTCTTTTATTTGCTGAGACACCCAACGACCACAACGCATTGAGCAAATTGAAAAACAACAACAACAACAACAACAACAACAACAACAATAAATAAAAATCACATTTTAACACTATACGTTTTCTTATGCCCTTTTATCTCAATTGCACGCGTTCACTCATAGATTTTGTAGATTTGCAATGGATTCGGTGTCTCATATGTCCAGCAAACGGGGCATTCAGCTTTGTCTTTTTTTTCTCTCATTCTAATCGCATTGTCGCTGTCGAACAATAGTGCGAACACACAAAAAAATCATCAGCTGTAACTCATTTTTTCCGATTTAAGTAAACCAGAGTCAGGTAGCGAGATTGTTAGTATTCCACTAATCGTCTTGACGTTCAGTTCCAACCATCCAAGAAAATTTAGAATCGTTTTTTTCCTTGTGTTTTAGTGGAAAAATTCAATAATCAGTCGACTCGAATAAAATATGTGCATTTCAGTGCTTCTTCATCGCATCGAACTGTTTGATTGCAATTTTTCTTGAAAATACCCAACAATTTCCAGTTTTTTTTTTTTCTTTCTATTTCAATTTTTTAATTTCAATTAATTAAAGCCGGTATTAGAAAACATTTTGCTCTATTCGAATAGAGGCTGTATTGCTGCGGCTAAATGTATAATAGAATATAAAGTGGTAATCATACTGCATCGCTTGCAACTATTTTGATGCCGTGCTAGGGCTTCCGCAAAACCAAAAGAATTTCCACACTTGAGTTTCGAATTCAGGCTTTTGTTCGATTTAGCGCTTAGATTCTGCTATATTCATTCGCATTTTGTTGTATTCGAATTTCGTTTTGTTCGAACGTCATTTTTGTTTTGCTGCCTTCACCAACCCGGACCTCTGCGATTGTGTGTCGGTGTGGAACACTGTGACTTGTGACAACCAGATTCCAATCGATTAGTACAGTTTTGTTCATCAAATCAAATGGAAGTCGGTTTGGTGAATGAATCCAAATGGTCGTTGTTGCAAATATTTTAATTAAAATGAAATAAATTTTCGGATTTTAATTCAGTTGTAAATTCGTTGTTGGTGTCAATTCATCCATATTCTTAGCATCCATATTAGATGCAAAGCTATTGTTCTGGTGATTTTTCTAACTCTCTCTCTCTCTCTCTCTCGTCCGATTTGAGAACTGAGGTCGAGTGGTGGATAGAGGATTGGCATTTCATTGGGTGTACAATTATCCTCAAACGCTATCGCCTGGGATACATACATACTCAATTATGGCTTTTATTTAAACGTTCTAGCACCATTCGAAATCAGTTCTTTTACGGATGTTGTCAACGATTCCACTAGTTGCAAAGCTGCTCCAACGATTTTGCTTTTGGCATCCAAAGTAAGTCAATCGTTTTTTTTTCATACGCCAATTTTATTTCTCCGCTTAAATGACGAATGAAATCCCCAAATACACAATCATTTCGCTAAACTATTCCGGTAAGAAAATGTGTTTTTTCAAAGTTTTTAGGTATAAAATGCATGTATTGTACTAAATCATCATTCATATTACGATAAAATCAAATTCAGTTGGGCACAACAATTGACACAATCTAAAAACAAATTCGATTTATCATAACAGAAGAGCGGTTGATACTTGAATAAGCCCAAATGTGCTAAAAGTGGTTTTTCTTCGTTCGATTTAATAAACAGAATAAAATTATTCGACTAAATCTTTGTAAATTTCACCAAAAATTTGAGAAAAATTTAAAATAAATAAAAATAAACGAAAAATTGAATTTTTTTCAAATGAAAATGTTGAGAAAAAAAATCATTGAAAAAACAAAGTAAAATAATAAGAGAAGTCTGAAAATTGCGATTCATGTGATAATTTAATAAATAATAATTTGTGACGAGTTTTTTTTTTTTGCTTTACATTTTTTTTCCATTCTGATTCATGCCTACAAATTGAAAAAAAAATAAAATAAAAATATTCCATTCTGTCGATCGGCTAAAAATATATTTCTCGTTAAAATTTCAATTTAACATGCGGAAAACGTCATTTTTCGTACCCCGTAAAAAGGAAGGTCAATATTTGTTTCTGTAAAAATTTGGTGATTGGATAATTCAAAAGAAAAATTCAATATTTAGCTTTGTTTTTCCTCGGATGTTTTTCGTGTTCACTTGTTTTAATCCTAAGTTTTTATTTAAAAGTAGAGATTTGAATTGCAGTTTAAGTAAATATTACTAATAAAAATTGTTGGAATTGTATGCATACTGCACAAAAAAAAAAGATTTGAAATAATATTCAGGTTTTTGTGCGAAGAGATTGGCATTCACGATCCACGTCTAGCAGCAGAGAAGTAAATAGTAAATTGATGCAAGCATCACTTGTCTCTTTCATTTCTTTTGTTTCATTTTAGCTCTCTATCATTCTCATATCTCAATCTCTTCGCCATTTGTTTGTCTCTCTTTACAACATATAAATATACAACAAATTACTGATTATTCTCTATATTCATTTAAAAAAAAAATTATTGCCAGTTACTTTGAAATAACACTTATTCAAAATAAAAAAAATTCTGTTCGTAGAAATATACGTAGCTTTTTTGTGTTTCGTTGTTTTTTTGTTTTTTTTTTTCTTCTCTCTATTCTTTTTCTGTACTCTTTTTATCGGTGACTTTGCGAATCGGATCTGATTTTGGCGACGCTCGATCATCATCATCATCATCATCATCATCTTTAGCATTGGAATCATTTTCTGGATCACTATTCACCTCACTATCATCGTGGTTCGAAGACGTGGAAGATTTGTTGCTTTGCTGTAATTGTTTCCATGTATCACCTAGCGCTTTCGCAAAATGGTCATCCACCGACATTTCAATATTCTCCACCACATCCTTTCCAACGGAATTATCACGGTTTGATGAGCTTCTTTCGGGCGTCGGTGTCTCTTTCACGCGCGCACTTGTGTCATTTACTACTGGCGATGTTTGTGGAGATTTTCTTGCCGTTGCGGCGGCGGCGGCTGACGAAGACGTTGATTTCATTTGTTCCAAGCGCTTTCCAAAGAGATTCATATAATCCGCCCCGAGCGATCGTCGAAAGTGTTCGTCCAGCTCATGATCGACCATTGATATGGATTCTGTGGGCAGAAAAGAGAATGGAAATCAATTTATACTCCAGAATTGGATAAAAAGGTAAGTAAATGAGATATTTTTTTTTTTGTTGTATTTCATATCCCATACCAGTCACTGGAGCGTCATCACACATAACAATTGGCTTTTTAGGGCTTTGTTTATTCTCCTGATTGGAAATCACTTCACGCTTTGGCGCCTGTGTTATTACACTCGGTCGAGACATTGTGCAGAACGTTGAACCGGGCAACGGATCACGATATGGTGGTGGCGGCGGTTTTGATGCTCCAACTGACATATCCAACGGTATTTCCATACTATTATCACCTAGACTATTCGATTGATTTGATTCACCTAACGGTTTCACCGTGCCCACCGGCTCATGATTGCTGTGATGATATTCCGACGACAATCGAATTCGACGATCACGTCGCCACTTTGTCGTCGGCAACTCCTTGTTTATTGTTATCCGATTGTCTGCAATATTTGGAAATGAAGAAGCAATTAGTTTTTGGTTATAAATTCAATTTTAACTCAATAATTTTTTATCCCCTTTCTCTTGTTTATTCTTCAGTGTATTTTTTGTGATGAATTAAAAAAAAAAAACGATTGATAAAATTCCTTATTTAGTGTAGTAATTTTCATTTAAATGAATTTGTATTTGAATTTCAAGGAATTTCGCAGTATTTTCACTAGCTTTGAATTAAATGGATAAAAATAAAACAAAAATCATCTTTGAATCCGATACAAATTTTCATTATTTCAAATTTTCCCAGAATTTATGGAAAGATTCGTTCGCATTCAAAGAAAAAAACCATCAAATTTCCTATCGAATTGTAAACGATGTAGAGAAAAATCCTCCAGAATACCAATTAACTAAACATCCGTTTGAGAAAAGACGAAAGAAAAAGCGTAAATGGAAAGTGTGAAACATACCGGTGTTGGTGTTAACCATGGTTGCCGCTCGTGATAGTACTTCGAGTGCCGATTCCATATCACAATTGACTAAGGCGACGACTGCAAAAGGGAAGAGAAAATGCCCAAAACATATTAGAAAACAAATGTATTCAAATAGAATAATAATTATGACATTTAAGCTCATTAGCTTAAGTAAATTTACAATGTATTTGAATAAAGAGTGTGAACTGTCTGAAACATTTATCCCGTCGAACAAAAACGCCTGTTTGTTTTTGTCTGTCTCCACGAAATGAGTCTTGCCCAAATTTAAGCGTGTTTTTTTTTTCCTTCGATCAAACTTCAACTAACTGTATTATGAGATCAGCGTGTTGATGCGGTTACTTCTTGAACGTATAATTTGCGAAATTGTTTTGGTTTCACTACAGAACCAAGCTGAAAGATACAACAGCAACGAAAATTGTGATATGCAAGTGTGTTATCTATGGCGTTTTCCCGTCGAATGTTTTTCGGTGTTTTTGTGAATATGAATTAATACGCATGATGTTGCATGTTGTCAGTTCGGCTTTGCATGGTTGACCGATGTAAATGTAGTAAAACAAGAAGGTCCCTGCATGCTTGCACGTTAGCGTCCCTGTGTGAGTGAGTGAGTTAAGAGTCGTATGTGATGAGTCGGCGCAACACTACATTTTCCTAGCACATATCTGTCTCTCTATGCAACAAACACACAGCTAACGAAACCAATCATCATTCACTCACTCATTCACCCGCTTGGTATCTCCTTCATTTCCCTCTCTCTCTCTCTCTCTCTCTCTCTCTCTCTTTCTCTCTTTCAGGGGTTCGAAAATGCAATCGGATCGCATCTCACATACCAATCATAATATAGAGCCATATAGAGATGTTGTGTATTTAAGAACGCAGCAATCGGTTTCGGAATGCGCGCAATGCCAATGCAGTAAGTGTGTGTGTGTGTGTTTAATGGGTTGTTTTCACTTCGGCTGCCATAAGATGTCGATGCGGTTTTTTGATCAATACACAACACCGCACAGTACACAACGCGATCAAGATACATTTCATGTATGAATAAACAGACATCTCAAGTCGTGTCGCCGGTTTGTTATTATTATATTTGCGTTTTGGGTGAAAAGTCGACGCAAAAATGTCTGTTGTTGTTGTTCATCGTCGTCATCAATTCCATGATAAGCAGGTGCACAAAGCGTCAATATTTATATGAAATTCATCGCCGCTGAGAGATATGATATGACTCCGACGGAATATGTGGGCACAATCTGCATTTCGAAATGATGGGTGAACGCGCGTACGCTCTTGCGAAAGACAAATATGCATGCAATGGAATTCCGTGGTATCTCAAGCATTGAGAAGAAGAAGAAGAAGAAAAAAACGCCACGAACAAATGCAAAGAATTCTCACTATAAAATTAAATTACTGCACACAAATGTTTTCACATGTCGTTGCTTTTTTCATCTCTCTCTCTCTCTCTCTCTCTCTCTCTCTCTCTCTCTCTCTCATTGCTCGCCTCTTTTATCCGTCTATTTTATCGAAATGCCTAAGCGTGTGCGTATGCAAGAAGGAAACTAGGTTTCTCTTCCCTTGTATTTTGTTTTAAGACCGAATTTTTCAAGCGAACGACAATTTTAATCCACACGAGATGCAATCGGATTGGAATGCAGTCTTAATATCAAAATCATTGCATCTTAAATGTTCAGAGCATTTCTTCTTTTATCTCTCCTTAAATGCCCATCAAAATGTAGTTCACATCAACCAACCAATCATTCCAGTCAGTCCAAAATGCACATACACGAACCGTCCACACGTTGTGGGCAATGAATCATAAATATCTCTTTCAGATGAATGTATCTCTTTGTTTGGTGCATGACTTATATCCTTGACATTACTAACCGACGGGAATTATTTCTCTGTTGTGTTTTTTTTTCTCTCTGTGTTCGCTGCTTGTATGTAATTATCTTGCACACAGCAATGAATTGCTTGGTCTGCATTCCATTCATTCTCTTTCTTCGATCATCTTTTTTTTTCGTTCACCTTTGGCCAATGTTTACATGTTTATGGCTGAACAACAACAACAACAAGCCGGGAGTGGATGATTATCTCGACCGAAGGAATGCCATTGTCGAGATTCTCGATGCTCGAGCCAATGTTTATTTTATTATTGGTGTGTGAATCGAATGTGAAAAAAAAAAGAAGAAAACAATACACCGAGTAGCAAATGGAAGATGATTGAAATGATGACAGTTTCGAACGAAAAGAAAAAAACACGAAATTTTCGTTTCGTCTGTCTTGAAATAAATATATTGGAATGAATTAAGATTTATTACGAACATTGCGAGCTAAGTAGTTGACTACTTATAAATTTGAAGCGTTTCAAAATGCTTGGTATGCCGGAAAAAGGTTACACACTGAAAATATGAATACGATTAAGACGATACTTTAAATAGTTTATGACATTTTTTTTTTTCGTTTTCTTTCTCTCTCTCCTTCTTGTTTATCGTCTATCTATGGAATTTAACCGGATTTCCTAATGCTCTCTCATGACGAGCACTGCTCATTCAGCATTTGAAATCGATTCAATGTGATTCTTTGCACGTAATTCCCAAGGATTCGGAATTCGGACCAGTGCCATGGTCGTCATCGCACAGAGACATATGAATTCTTCACTTCCACTCTCTCTCTCTCTCTCTCTCCCTCTCTTGCACTGTGTTTTTCGCTGAAACCCACAACATTGCTCGAAAGAATTCCGAAAAAAAAACAAATGTATGGAAGTGAATGTCGAAGTGACTTGAGTTTATTGCCATAGTTCCGCTTCGCAAGTTTCGGGTTTTTTCCTTCTTGCTCTTGTTATTGCTGTATCTGTTCGTATGAAAACGTAGTTACGGTATTGTTGTGAGAAGCGAAGAGAAAAAAAAAAAAACAACGGCCGAGAATAATAATCAGACATGCTTTATGGAATGGAATAAGATAAATCGTTAGTAATTTATATGACGATATCGTTTCGGGCAGCCGGCCCGAGATGTGTGGCGATCCAAGCAAAACGGCTAATTGTGTGTGTGTGTGCTTGCTTTGACTCTTTTTTTTTCGTGAGTCTGATTGAATTTCAATTTCTCCCAAATAACAACAACAACAGCAGCAACAGTCGCAACAACACACATCGGTGCGTTGGAAACGAATTGATGCGCGCGCGCGCGCATAAACGCTCTCTGTGCGATAGTTGTTTGGTATTTTCGGTGCTTTCGCGCACATCGAAAAGTCGAATTGCTTAATGCGTTTCTTTCTGCTTCTCTTCTCTGAAGCAAAGAGATGTGTGTACGTTACGCTCTGCTGTGCACTCGCTCAGTGTTCACAGAAAAGAAGAAGAAATGAAAAAAAAAAAAAAACAAACCAGAGCGACTTTATATCGGGGGGGCATGATTTGATATATTTTTTTGTGTTGTTCGTTTCGTTTCATGCGAAAGAATGCAAAAGGAAATTGGCCACGAGGAATTCCGTCGTGCGTATCTCGTTGGTATTCACCTCTATAACACGAATTACTTTGCATACACAACAATGATGATGATGTTGATGATGATTTACATTTGTTATTGGCGCGGTTCGAGATTCCGAAAAGGATTTCGAATTAAACGATTGTGTGTGTGTGTGTGTGTGTGTGTTGGTGCGTGAGTGCGGCGCGTATAGTGAGAGCGTGTGTGATGTGTTGTGACTAAATCCGCATTCCCAAAACATTCGGCTTACATAAAGCCGATATACATACATTCTTCTTCTTCTTTTTTTTTCTCTCTCTCTCTCTTCTCAATCATCGGTGGTTCATCGGCAAGAATGCGAGAAGCACGAGCAAACACAGAGAATCACACACATATCACAAAGAAGATAATGAAACAAATTAACGAAAATGAATCGACGAGTTTTTTTTTGCTCTTCTTCTTCATCTTGTCAGTTGCTGTTTTGCTATTGTTATTGTTAATATTTCATTTGTGTGTACTATAAATTTCGGCTCGTTATTGGGAAAGTCATTTAATGACAAATTTCCTATGGACAGATAGTAGCTACAATCACTTGACACGCACGCGCGCGCGCACCACACCAACCATACAATAACACACAATATACCACGAATCGATTGCGGCATACATTTTTTTTTCGTCTAATTCTCGTCTTTTTTGCTGTTTCAAACTGAAATTCAAATGTACATACAGGCAAACAATTTCATTTTGTCAATGAGAAAAAAAACACAATGCATATATTGCAAAACAATGATTTACCAAACACACACTCACACTCGCACCAATCAAAAACGTTGAACCAGAAAGAAGAAAATAGTAACTCAAATCACTCAAATTCGATTCGCACAAAATTTTCAATTCCAATTGATTTCGTAGTACGAAACACACAGCACAGACAAACGAAATCGAAGAAGAAGGAAAAATAAAAACTTGGTGTTGTAATCAAACATGTGAAACTCGAAGTAGACGTGAGACCTGAAGCTCTCAGAGCTGGATTGAATACGAACCAAAAATGCGAAGCGATCACAAATCGGAGCAGCATCGCAATGTATGAATTTTTAATTCGAAATTACATTCGTTAATACCTTTTGCAGTGGTTTTTTTTCGCTCGATCTCTCCCTCCCCCCCTCTCTCTCTCTCTCTCTCTCTCTCTCTCTGCTGTATTGGGTCCTTCAAAGTCACTATTATCGTCTTGTATCAATCGATTTTTGCTGAACTCTCTATTGAGTGAGTGTTTTACTTCTTCGTCGTCTGCACCCCAACCTGACGAAATAATGAAGCACTGCGATTTTTCTTCGTCACTATTCTCTTTGCTGCACTATCTCGTAATTTAACTTGCCTTCGTTTAACTGTCTCAAATTTCAATATTTCCGGATGAAAAACTGTGATATTTTTTTTCTGTTCACTCTGTTCGTTGTTGCTGCGTTTCTTTCCCTTGGCTCTGCTTCTGTGACTGTTACTGCTGCTGTTGTATGATTATTTTGCTGTTTGATTTTTTTTAGCTGCTCCGATGGTTGTAATCACATACACACCGTACGAGTTTTAGTTTGGGCCTCTCTCTCTCTCCCTCTTGCTGTGAAATATATAAAATATTTTTTTTTGTTAAACCACACATAAACACACAGCACATTTGTTTATTTGACATTTAAGCTTCTCACAATAGCACTATCGCAACGACAATGGTATGTCAAGAATTTTTGGTATGTGGAACGGCCTTAGACGACATGCGCGACATTATCTGGAAAGCAACCACGTTTGATCTCTGTCTTACGCTTGACTGTGGTGTATGCATCGATTTCGGTCGCACACAAAACTCGACGTCGACGAGATTGCTCGTTTCGTCGCACTCACACAGTGACAAACATATACAAACGCTCGCGCACATATATTGTACCCGTGCACGTTGGCTCTCTTTCACTCCACTTGGTCGCATCGGCGTGTGTGCAAGTGACTGCACGACCACACTTGAGCCGCCGAGTATTTTGCGTTGTATGTGCACGTCAATGTTAAAGAATGCGGTATGTTCAGAATCGATTGTAACAACATCTCTGCTCAGGCATATGCTTTATTCATTCATTTCACCACTGTTTGTCTCGCTCATTTGCACTGAAGTGTAGAAAAATCAGTTTTTCTTCTTCGTTTTCGTCTTCACTGTAATTGACACTTGGTGCATTTTTGCTGTGGTTGTCATTTCGATGCGCAGATGTCGCTGGTCGTCAACGAAACACAGAGACTTTTGCGAGACTTTCTTTGTTGTCATTTCGATCTATGTTTTGTTTACATCGAAGCCAACAAATCCATTCTTCCGACTGTGTGTTGTCAGCGATCGGAATCGCTGTTGTTTATTTTTGGGATTGACAAGATTTATCTGCATTTTGTGGGTGATCATCGGTATTCGGAGTTGAAAAAAAAAAGGAAATTAAAACGTGTTATTTATTGTTATCGCTGTGTTTGTTCCTTTCTCTCTTTCTCTCACTCTCTCAACATATTCGGAAGGTAAGCATTTTTATGTGCCGGATTCTCTAGATGCTTTTTTAAAGGTTGGTAATTCACTTTGAGCATATCCATTTCATTTTGCCATCGCTCTGGTTACCACTCTAATGTGCATGAAATCATTATTTCATTTAACAATATTTCCTGTGCGATTTGATTGTTTAACCAAAAAAAAAAGAGAGCATTTAGTGCACGGTGATTGTCAAAAATCATGAGTCGATTTAGTTGGCGGGCGTGTGTGTGTTTGTATGTGTGCGTATGTGTTGAGTGTTCACAATTGGAAAAAGAAAACTTGAGTACCCTGCGACCAGCATCGTTTACAAGTTTCGTCGTCGTCTTCGACGCTAGCCAATTGACAAATACCACTACACATGGAATCTGCTGCTGGCAGGTTAATATGAAATATACATACAAAACAGCCAGTCTCTCGCTCGCTCATTCTCAAATACCATGACAAGCGCTGAAACCATAAAAAGTCTTTTATTGACAATGTAAACGGTTTTTTTTTCTACTACGTCTACTTTTGCTTCTACTTGTCGTTCGGCACTTCGACCTAAAGAAACTGTTTGTAACCAAAAAAAAAAGGCTACACTTGATCGCTACATCTATTTTGCATCGGTGAATTGTGCGCCCAACTTGAACGCTGTGAAAAAAAACCATTCCAAAAGAGATTCATTGAAACACTTTTTTTTTGCCAAAAAGAAAAACGGACGAGAAGAGCGAGAGAAGGCTGACTGTCACCGAAAAGAAATACTCTCTGTTTACGGGCATCGAACCACAAACACGATTTTATATGTCTATTTTTGGATTATTGTAGTTTATGAAAGAATGAATTGTGCAAGTTTTCCGTGAGTTGGTGGTGTATTTCGAAAGAAAGTTTTACCCAAACACAAAATCGCAACGCACACACACACACACACATTTTGCTCATTTTTTTCTGCGGTCGGCTCGTCGGTTTTTGTTAATAAATGAAACGGTGCATACACACCAAGTGTTTAACAGTGACATTAATCGGAATTATTTTTTCTGTGACTGTGTCTTCGTCCAGCGGCCAATTGTGCTTTGTGAATGACATTTAGTGCAGCACTCATTATACCGGAACATACACTCGACGCAATACGCACATTTACAAAAGCCCATTTGCAGAAATTCAAATGCCAAAGCGAGTGTGTCAATGACTCATTCAGACAATGCATACATAGCAGTATACTTCTATTGGAATAATTAAAATTACACTCAATATCTCCACCCGAAACTAATTAAGGCGGAACCCCCGTTTTTTTTTTTTTCTTTTTCTGTTTAAAACAAACGAAATTGCATTGGGATTTTATACGAAATAATTTTTTTTTTCTGTTTTTGCTGGTGAATGTGACATTTTTGTTGTGTGGAATTTTTTCGGTCGTCCCTTGTGATTGTTCATTGCAATAGGAGTTTCCAAATTGGCCTGCGGTGATTCAAGCAGCTCTTCAAGATGTCAGTGGATTTGGATAAAAATAGAAACGACATTGTGAATGCATGGAAAGACGTTGTTGACGCTAAAACCGACACCGATTGGTATGTATTTTCAGCTCAAGCTTTTTTTTTTCCATTTTATTCTCCACATTTTCTGACCTTTTTCACGCTGCGTAATTTCATATGGAAATGTCAATATGAATGAAATGTATTTTGAATCTTTTTTTCAGGGCTTTGTTCGGATACGAAGGCCATTCGAATGCACTGAAAGTGGTGTCCACGGGTAATGGTGGACTTATCGAACTCGCTGACGAATTGAATAGCGGCAAAATTCTATACGGGTTCCTTAGCATCACCAATGAAAAAAACAATTTAATCAAGTATTTGCTTATCAACTGGCAGGTTTGTTGGGTTTATTTCAATCGTTTCAATGATTCATTCAATGATTTGACTCACTAGAGCGGCATTTTTATAATGTAATTCACCAAAATGATAGGAACAAGTGACTTAACGTGACTTTCACTTGATTTTTTCTTTCTTCTCTTTGTATAGGGTGAAGGAGCACCAACACTTCGCAAAGGCACTTGCGCCAATCACATTCGCGACATTTCGAAGATTCTAACTGGAGCTCATTTAACACTCAATGCTCGCACTGAAGATGACATCGAAACGGACCGCATCTTAGAGAAATTGAATAGCATCCGATTTGCTGTCAAAGAGAAAGACAGCAAATCTCGAATTGAAGACGGTGGGTCATTTTGGATGATTGGAATGGAAACTTTTTTGTCGTTTCATTTCGTTAAAACTGAAAAATTTACCAAGAAATGCATTATTGTCGAAATTTTTAGTTTCAGTTCGGTTATTCGTTTTGCGAAATCATTCATTTCATTGATATCAATCAACGCGACCGTAGCAAAAATAATGAAAAATCATTGGTTTTATTTTCAGAGCCCCAAAAAGTAGTTGGCACAAATTATTCACGAGTAATTCCGTCGAAGGAAATAAATTCAAAGGATCGTGACAGTTTCTGGAAGAAAGAAGAAGAAGAGGAGCGTATTCGTACTGAAGGGGAGCGGGCAAAGCAAACAAGTGCCAAGTTGGAACTGGAAAAAGTATGTTGCAACTGGTTCACCGAATCAGTCTTAATTATTAATGAGCGCTTGTGTTTGTTATAGGAGCAGAGACATAGAGAACAGCAAGAGCACTCTGAACGTGAAAAGAGGAGGCTTGAAGCAACGCCCGAACGGAATTCAAATGGAGTTAAGCTGGATGAACCGAAGAAGTAAACATTTTTTTTTTCTCGACATTTCTTTATTCTTCCCAAGAATTTTTTTGGATTTATTCCATTGGATTGAACACGATTCTTTCCTTGTAATTCAACAATTGTGACATTTTCCTCTCATTCCAGCATTCAAATTCCAAAGCCGTCCGTTGATCGTTCGACGACACAAGCCGAAGAGATGCGACAGCAGCGCAATCAAGAGGCGAGACAATTGATTGGAGACAGTGTTGACAAAGCAAAAGCAATTTTCGCACAAAACACAGCAGCCGGCCAGCTACAGAACAAAGCCGCAAAAACTGCACCAGTGAAACCGGTTCGAAATTCCATTACACGTTCAGCGACTAATCAACGGCAACAACAATCGCCCGAACCAGAAAAATCACCTCAACATGGTGCCGAAGAAATGGAATCGCCTACCGGCCCACAGTCATCGAACAATAATTTAAAAGAGACTAGCGTTGTTGCTGATCAGCCGATTCATAATTTAGAAGACGATGACAGCGATCCATATTCAACTATAAAACGTTCGCCTTATACAAAAGTAACGACCAACAGTCAAAGTGAACCGAGTGCCAATAACGTCAGCAAGCAAGCCGATAACGTCCAAACGGAAGCAATCACCACACAGCCAAATGATACCGAACAAAAAGTTGCTGAAGACAAACCACCAACCGAAACGGGTAAGAACAAAAACGGAATTTCCGACGAAATTTCGTATAAAGTTTTATATTGAAATACTTTGAATGAGATTCTTTCGAAAATAATAATGATGACATACATGTTATATGTATATCGACATTTTTCCAACTTTCAGAAGCAGTTGTGGACGATTTATCGACCTATGATGGAATGTTACAGGATCAAGGTCTTCGAGCTCGTGCTTTATACGATTATCAAGCAGGTAAAAATTCATTTTTATTTGGAAATAGATTTCGCTTTGCATACCCTGTATTGTATTCTAGAATTTGTTCATTCATTTTTAAAGTTTTTTTTATTTTTCGGTGTTTTTATTAAATTTTTTTTTCATTTTTTCTTCCATCGTTCATTTTTTTCAATTCATCTTTTTTATTTTTCTGTATTTCAATACAGAATCTCATTTTGAAGCAGAACTAATTACATTTTTCTTCTTCATATTTTGTATTTCCATTGAATTTTATACATTTTTGTGTGTGTGTGTAACAACGTGAATAATTTTTCCATTTTTTTCCCCTGTTCAGATGATGAGTCTGAAATCACTTTCGATCCTGGTGACATAATCACGCACATTGATCAAATCGACGAAGGTTGGTGGCAAGGGCTCGGACCAGATGGTGCATATGGCCTTTTCCCGGCAAATTATGTCGAACTATTGAATTGAATCTAGCACATTTCATAGCGAAAGACAGGATTTTGAAAACGCATAACTATCAAAACAAACAGCCTAGGAACTGAAGAAAAAGCCCCCTCTCAGCAGAAATGCATCACTTGCATGCTTATTCCAATAACAACAAATCAATTGCACCATTTACAACGCATTTTTTTGAAACTTTTTTTTCCCCAATACTAATCTACTAATTATGTGTGATTTCGAACGTTATAAAAAGAAGAAACCACAAAAGAAGACAATTGATAGAAATAAAACCGAAGAAGAGCTAACTAACAAGCATTCCAGTGCAATAACAAACAAGTTGATTTGATGCTGTAAGCATCAAGTAATAATTGAGAATTGCCAAAAAAAAAGAAGCCACAACAAAAAATGAGAAAAAGAAGTGAAACTATATTTTCGAAATTTTATTTAGGTGAAAAATAATGAGAGCATAAAAAGGAAGTCAAAGAAAAAACAAAATCTGTTTAAATTTGCACGGAAGATTTTATTTAACAAATGTTAAAATGCGATAGATTAAATTTTTAAAAATAGATACGGAGATAAGATCGCGTCATTTCACCGTCTATCTCATACATCACAAGATGAAGCGAAAACAAAGCAACAGGATTTTTCACTAGTATATTGAGTTTTGTTCGTTTTAAAAAGGAAAACCAATCAACAGACATTTTTAAATGAATCTTTACATATTTAGCAGAAGAAAAAGAACAAAGAGATTCCATTGGAATGACCCCAGGCATTTACAACCAATTTTTAGTGAAAATAAACGAGATTTAGCTAAAATAAAAACATAGTGAATTGATGCACAATTTGATGTTTTTTTTTTCCTCCTTCTTTCTCCCCAATAATAGAGAATTAATTCAATGTGACTAAGAGATTAGACTTAGAGCGTATGATTTTATTTGACAAGTGATTCAATAATAAAGTGTAATACTAATGGAATGGGACAACATAGCTATGATGTGTGGTTATTTTTATTTTCATATTTTTTTTTCTTCTTCTTTTTTCTTCTCACAAAACAGGAGCAGAGAGCAAGAGAGCGTGTGCAAAGCAATGAGCTTGAGAGATATTGACCTAGTTTTGTGCTTGAATAAGCGGTTTGCTGTTGCTATTGCTGCTGCCACAGCCATATCAACAGCCAGCAATTTTCTTTATTGATTAATAAATTGCACATTTCAACTGGCAAACAAGCGAGAGTGTCCATCAGTGAAAAAAAAACCACTCGGCATTTTTGCACGTTTTTTCCTCCTTCTATTCGCGATGCATGAGCATTTGAGCAGTTGGCAGAGCTTCGATAATGATTATTGCATTGTGTGCTGGTTTTTTCTTCTGCTATCTGGCCCCACATAGTGATTTAGATGTAGAGATGGCAGAGAGAAAAACAGTAGACATAGAGAGTTGCAAATAAAAAAGAAGGTCAGCATAAGTGAGGTAGTGACAGAGATTGAACCGTATGTGGCGGCCGACTTCTGAAAAGAAGCGTCATCGATAGATGGTTTATGCAACAAGCGGATGACGAAAAAAGGCTTGTGAATTAACAAGAAGACTTACAACAAAATCAATGGGGTTTATTAAGTCGAAGAAATGAACGAAACAAAAAAAAAACCAGCACTACATCGATTGTCCTCAATTGGCTAAACCTCTTTCTTTTGCTTTAATCAGAGAAGCGTTTGGCCGTTTTTTTTTTTTGGTTACCTTGATGGAAAAATTTATTGTACACAGCCAGGCACAATAATTACCGTTGATGCAAAGGTTAAAAGGCGGAAATTGCGTCGAAATTCAATTCTATTCTTGGGCCTGGCATGCGCTCGCGCGTACATAATAATTATTCGGCATGAATTATCGATACACTATCAGGACAATGTACATGAATTATATAACATTCGTGGAACCGGAGAAAGAAAGCCGAAAAAAGGAACCACTGAAAACACCGCAAACGGCGTGAAGAAGTGTTGTTGTTGCTGTTTTTTTTTTTTTTTTTTTTTGGTTTGGAATGAACGAGTACCGCGGTGTGTGGCGATTGCGGTGAATAAAAACGACGCATGCATATTGAAATGCCGACACACCGTATCCGATAAAATGAGTGTTGCATACACAACTCGGACTTTTTTCCCTCTCCGTGATATGCAATTACAGCAAAGAGATTTCGATTCAATTCGAGAATCAATTGACACTTCTCGCCATCAAAATGTGGCCTTTCCAATTGTTAGATGAAAGTAAAGCGATAAATAAATGTTGGGAAATCCAAAAAACATTTGTAAATGACAAATTAAATCGTTTGATTTTTGGTGTGATTAGCGCGATCGACTAGAATTTGGCAGACTTTACTACAATAGCTGTTGTCGTATCGGTCGGGAACTGATGTTTCAATCAGTCATATATGTGAGACCGTACACGTGACCTTTTTTGCTGTATGACAGCATCTTGTATTTCTCTTACGTGACCGCAGCCGTATGGCAGTGAGCGAGACGCGACGATTCAATAGCAATAACCGTAGCACACATGTTGAAATACATGCAGGAGGCAGGCATAAAAACGTGTGGAAAACAGCGCACACACTTACTGACATACACACGCATATACACACACATCGGGAATATCACATCGATTGCACACAGACCATGACAATGTCGCGATAGAGCGCCATGCGACGTTTCGCCGATTCACTTTACTACAGCACACTTCGACTGATTGTTTTCAATTTTTAAGCGTTCAGTATATTAAGCAGTCTTCAAGATAGAAGGTGCTTTATTTTTTTTAACTTACGTCGCGAACGTTCAGCAGCTTCAAATAATCATATTGTTTTGTTATAATTTTGATTCTAGTTCGTTTTTTTTCTCCTCTGTTTCTGTTTTTTTCTTTTCTTTTAAATCGTCGTGGTTTTGTTTGAAGCTGAAAGAAACAGTGCAAAGTATTCACACAGTGGTTTGACAACAAACCAATTCGAATCAAGAGACAATTTATTTTGTGGAGTGAAAAGTAGAAAGAAAGAGCACAGTGTTGAGAGAGAGAGAGAGAGAGAGAGAGAGAGAGTGAAGAAGCAGCAAAAAAGGAAAAGATATACGAAACACTCCCGACACGGACAACATATCATCAATTGTGTCCAAGATTTTCACTGTAAGTACAGTCTACCCCTCATGTAGTGCTGTTGTTCATACATCAACAAATTATCCAGTAAATACTCTCTCGCGCTCTCGTGTTCACCGATAAAAAAACAACTCATTAATCGATTCTTCGACATTTTATGCTCAAGCCATACACAGATTTTGAATTAATGTGTGTTTGCTGTGGAGTATACAGAACAGAAATAATTGACACGAAGAATTATTTCATACAAGCAGTTTATTGATTCGGATGTTTTTTGTTCGGACTGTGCTGAACGTGACTCTAGTACATGTGCGCGGTGGTTCAATGGAATATTTTTAAAGTTATAATTATGCGGTGTGTGAAAGAAATAATATGTGTGTACAATGACAGGAGATTTCGTTCTTGTTTTCTTTTATTTCGTTCCATGAAATACGGATAAACAGGTTTTTGTTTTACTCTCTGTGTACTGTACTGACAGCTACTTGGGTAAGCTGACGCAAAAAAATGTTCTATCTCGTTAAATAATCCAATCATAATCTTTCAATTGGATAAACATGAACAATACAACTGACGGTTTTTTTACAGTACATTTTTTTCTTCTGTGCCATGTACAATCGAATGATCTATTTGCAATCATTTTGTTTTTTTTTTTTCTTCATTTGTTTGATTTTATACGGACGCTGTTGCCTTGAACGTTAGTTACCTTTCCGGGATTAGTCAATACGATAATGAGCACGATGAACTTGCAGATTTTACACACCGTAACACCAAGTGCTTGGCTACGGAAATTTGACATCGATTTCTCATACATGAAATGCCCATAGCAAAATGATTACAATTTGTCGTGCTTTTGTTGAGGGTGGGGAACTTTAGAAATAGCTTCATTTGTACGATGCTAATTATTTTTGCCCCAAAAAAAAAAAACGTCTTCTTCCCTTCTATTTTATTTATCGTAACCAGCAACAGCTCCCTTTTCACAAATTGGAAATTGGCTCTCTGGGAGCGCTTTTTGTGCTGAATAACCTTATCACAAAAAGGTGATTCATCAGAGAAAATGCGGAACGGTTTGCCTTCTCATACATTGATAATATTCACTCAAACGAATAAATTTCCGAGGTGATTGCTTCGAAACAAAACGAAAAGAACAACAACGACGATGACGACGACAACGGCGATATTCATTTTGAATCGTTCAGATGCGTGCTAAAAGTAACGTAAACCACACGGAAGGGAGCTCGGTGAAAACATCAAACGAGAGAGAGAGAGAGAGAGACTTTGGGTAGAAAACAATTCAATTCACCGAATGCTTCATTCTCATATCGCTCAATGCTAATTTCGAATCTACGCAACATGGGGGGCCACACTATGTGCAATTTTTATTTCATCAAGCCAATCTCTCATGCACACGCAAAATTATTGACACCAAAAAATCCGTTTTGCTCGAATTTTGTAAGGTGCTTCTTAGTCTTCTATTCTTTTTGTTGTTCTGCCGCTGTTGAATTTTTCGCTCGTTCTTCTTTCTTTCCGTTTGCTTTTGTTTCTATAAAGATAAATATAAATATACACAACAATTTCAAGCCATTGCTACTAGGCTGATCTATTTTTGTGTGGTTGTCGCGGTTCGTTGCTTGAGCGTGAGCGCGCGCGCGCCTTTGCATTTGTTTTTGTGCGGTGTGTGTCAGTGCTCGCTGCTTGGCGGCGGCGGTGGATTCGCTTTCATTTTCACGGCCATAGGGGTATTGCAACGACCATAAAATATATGTACTTCATCAAGTTTATCAAGCTCTTTCCAAGTTTATGCATAGTTTCGAACTTTTGTTCAAGCTCTACCATCTAAATGTACAGTAAAATAATTTATGGGCACGACGTAAGATGGCGTTTTTTCTGGTCAAAAAAGTTGCAATATCCCTTTGTTCACGGCAGCACACACTTATTTCATTGAGACTAGAGACTGTCCGCGTACAGTGGCTCAGCCACACAGACACCAAGATGAAGTGAGAGAGAGAGAGAGAGATGATGAGAATAAAAAAAATGACTTGAGAGCACTTGGCGCTAAATATTTTCACTTCTATCGACCTTTAATCGTTAGATATTGCGTGAGATGCTGTCACCTGTCGCCCATACAGAAGCCGAACTTGTTTTGTGTTTGCCTCTAAGCGAACGAACGACACAAGCTGTGTTCTGGTTTACGGAACTTTTTGTTTTTCTATCATTATTATTATCGATGATGCCAAACAAACATCGATCAGCTTGATTTGCATAATTTCGAGGCCGGTTTAATGTTTTAAATCAATCATATTTGAGCATAAATTTCGGCAACACGTGGGAATTACCCAATGATTGTCCTCATTCCATTCAACTTTCACCGATTATTCCAATCTTTCAGTTCAAACAACTGGCTTTTACTTCGGGTTAGACGTCAGAGAAACAGAGACTGCGAAAAAGAGAAAGACAGAGCGAGAGCGACGCAGTCCAAGAGAGAAACGACCAAATTCAACGGAACGATCCTTGAAGAATGAAATTGAATTTTGAAAACTTCATTTAAATTTATCGAGTGAAAAGAGAATTTCATTCGTTTGTTGTTGCTCGTTCCGTAGCCGCTTTGTGAATCCGAATGAATGATGCTGCTGCTTTATTTCTCGCAAAAAATAAACACAATTACTGATAGACATTCTATGCTCATTCGGATTTTCGTGTGGTTTCTGTGTGAAATCGAGCGAATTTCGGTTTCGATTTAGCAGATCCCGTTTGATCGCTCTCGTGTGCAGCTACTCGCATCGCGTTGTCTCCTCGTATCGCGAATAAAATACACATATATAAAAAAAACCAGGTAGAAGAAATTAAAGGATTTTTTGCTTTGAAACCGCGTCGAGAGTTTGTTTTGTCGACGAAAAACAATTGTCCTCGAGGAGTAATTTTTCGTCTGTTATTTTTAACAATGAATCAAAAGAATTCGTACCGAAGAATAGAGCGTGTGTGTGTGTGTGTGTGTGTGTGTATTCTCCCTCTGTTTATTTGTTCATTTGCTTGATACATTGTCGGATTTTTTTTTTCAATTCAACTGAAACTATGCAGTGAAATGATGTTTTAATCGTTCATCAAGTGCGCATTGTTTCGACGGAAATTATTTATGCATTTCTCTTCATGTCTCGAATCGAGCCTATTTCAATGTGGCGACGGAATTTCACTCAAATTTACGCTAAACCAAACAATATTTTCTTTCTCTTTCGTAAATAAAACAAAATACGGCACTAACAATATGTCTCTCGTTCTTTTTCAAATGTATCGTTTCCGCAATGAAAAGGAAAAAAAAAAAAACGAACGCGAAAATCAATTTGTTCAAAAAGAGAGAGACACTCTAATGTCGTACCATTTTTATCCATATGTAAGCAATTTACATCTTTTTTATGATCAATAAAAAGAAAGAGAAGGTACTAAGAATTTGGCCATTTAATAAAAAAAGATCCGGCCTGTTTATATAACAACATAGTTGTTATCGACGGGAATTTCGTAGCAGGTATGCTATCATATGCTAAATCTATCGCCTTTCTTCTTCTCATAAATAACAACTGCGACAGTTGTGCGTTGTAGCCAATTTGTAAGAACAAAACGACAATCTCGAAGAAAGAATTTCTCGTCTCACTTTCTTCCCATAGTACGCGCGGAAAAGAAGCAAAGCAACAACAGAATAAAAAATTATCATCGGTTGTGCGTTGAATCTGCGACATTTGAATTATGTTTGTCAAAGATTATATTTTTTACATTTCGATATTTTGACCTAAAAATTTATATAAATAGACAGTAGACGATATTGTAGTTCAAATGACAACATAAACACTGTTAATTGAAAGTGTGAGACAGACGAGTAAGATTGAAAGAAAGACAACGAAGGCAACACAACATGACTAATCAACTGCTGTACCAATCCTTTTGATTCTCGTGAGATTCTCATTAGCCTCGATTCCATTAAATGAATTGAGAATTTATTGGAAGCTTTTTTATGACATCGAAGTGTCAATTCAGCAATTCACTTCAAAAATTCGAAAAGTTTGCCCTATTTTAGCGAACCGATCGACATTTTGGCATTCAGATGACAAAGATTTGTTCTGTGGCTAAAGGAATTGCTTGAGTATCTACCTATTGAACTTTAAGTGCTTCTTTACTTTAACTTCTCAAATATTGAATTCAAAATTTTCCATTGAAAAATGCTTTTTGATATTCTCCATACGAAAATGAAGCGTTCATAGAAGAAAAAAATTGGATCAATTTTCTTGATTCAATATCAATTGATATGATTAATGATGGGTCATCACGAACATGTATAGCAACATCGAATTTGCTAAAAATTGTGTTCTCATTTTGTTTTTATAAAATTGTTTTGTTCAAAGGAAGAAAATATCGTTGTTTGCTCTGTTTTTTTTTTTCGTCATCAAATTGTCGATATTCAATGAATTGTGTTTGAAAAACTGACTTTTTCTTGTCATTTTCAACCTCGACCGACCAAAACGTGTCTCGTCTGACTCATGCGCCACCGAGAGTTACGAACTCGACCGAATCGAAATGATCGCTAAGCAGTTGTTTGGTACATGCATAAACCAGTGTTATTTTTGGCATTGCTTCATTATACCTTATGAGTTGTGTTTGGTGACAATGTGCTGTGCCATGCTGTGCTGTGATTTTTTTTTTTTTTTTGCATGAAATGAGCGCGATTATTTAAATGATTGAAATTTTACGACCATTAAATTAATTGATGGTGTCGATACAGTGTAGCGAAATGAAAACGAAAAGAGCATAACAATTGTGTAAATGATATGTGGTGGCAAAGAAACGAATGATCAGGCATTATTAAGTGTGTTGACTACATTGAAACTAGGCAATTGTTGATTTGGTGTAGAATTGACTTGATTGCAAAGCGAAAAACCAATGAAAAAATAAAATAAAATGGTCAACACAAGTCAAGCGTGCGCCACTTACGATGTAAACGAGCCAGTTCAATTGGTTTGTTTACGTTGGATGTGTCATTGAGTATGTTATCAACGCTTATGGTTTGTTTTTTTTTTTGGGGGGAATTTCCAACCAATTGATGATCGAATGTGAATTCGATTTTCTTTGTTGGGATTTCTGTGAATTGAATCGCATATAAAAATCCAATGTCGTCAATTGAGCTACACTATTTTCGATTCAAATAGTCTACGTTCAAACGAGGGATTCGTTTCCAAATCGGGCCACGCTCCATTGACCATTGTGATTGGAAATGTTGTTCAACCAAGCATTGTTCGTTGCTTCTTAGCAATAGCGTGGCGCTCGTATGCCAGGCGACAGTAGAACAAAACGATAGAGTCAATCCACTCGATTCATTAAAAAAAAAACATTTGCAAAATGACAATTTAAATAATAGGTTGAGGGATTTTCTTTCTCTCTCGCACTCCCCTTCCGAATGGAGTGCTGTTGAATATTTTATGAATGTTATCATAAACCGGGCTTCTCGTTGCATTTGGTTTGTTGCAGCAGCATTCCGTGTCAGTCGCATATTCAATTGATTTAGTTCACATTGGCATGTGTGTTAGATTTGATTTGAGTGTGTACAAATAAAGCACTCGAAATTGATAGTCATGTTCAGCTCTTTTTTTTTGTCATTTTTTCATCGTAAATGCCATTTTCAAGCCTTTACATCGATAAAATAATGCAAACGTAAGAAGCACGTGTAAGAAATCAGAAAATCGTACACTGATTGAAATACTTGGAAAAAGATATTATTCACCGTTCAAACAAGATGGCGAGAAGAATCGACTGCATGCTCATGCATTTTTAAATGCTAAGTTGTGCAAAGTCATCTCCTTTCTGATGGATATATGAGTGCTATAGAGAGGATGGAGCAAAAAATAAATAAATCGCAACTTGATTGAAATATGACGACGATTTTTTTTCTTCTTCGTTTTACTTCACGCAGCTACTGTAATGGTTTCGATCGTACACATCTCTCTGAGCTCCATCACATGGAATGATACGTGTGACGGCATATTTTCACACGAAACTTTGTTCCCAATGAGCCGAGCACTTGCTATATATAGAGCGAACGTATCCGAATATTAGAAACCACAGGTTATTACACGTAGCAAGTGCTCGGCGCACTGGAAACAAAGTTCCGTGTAAAATGATGCCGTTACACGTATCATTCTATGTGATGGAACTCAGAGAGATCTGTTACGTGCTCGAATTAATTTCCATTAGGAAGCCTGTATTTCTAGTTTGAATCGAAACGTGTTTATCGCATGTGAAAACAGATGATTCATCCATGCTTTTCGGTTTGGTTTTATGTTGTCGGTGATTTTTTTTTCCCTTTATTTTTCCACAGAACCAACCAAAAATATTGATCTCTACCGATAAACAGCCGTATAAATTGATTTCGATTAACGATAGACAAACGTTTTGCTGGAAAATCAAACGTGATTTGATACCCAGAAAGTTATGCAAACGATGGTTACACGAAACCTAACAAAAGAAAGACAAAAACAATGAAAGTCACGAGTTCGTTTAACTTGGCATTAATACGTCGATTCCAAAGTATGCTTCCGGTCAAACAAATGATTTTATCACACCTGGGGGGAACACATTTGTTTGTAAACATCGGAATAGTCGACTGTTTTGAAAACAGTGTTTTACAAGAAAACTAAAAAATTATTGAAAAAATATTCGATCAAAATTCTTTGGAAGAATCTTCAGGAAAATTTCTATGCAAATCGTTGTACAAAATGTACAAAAATCGTTACATTGTTCTCAAAGATTTTTCTAAGGGAGCTTCCTCAGCTCAAAAAAATAAATGAAATGAAATTCATTGAGAAAGATAGCGAAGTGCGTCTTTCATTCAGAAAAAGTTCATAGAAAAAAATGTGTTGTTTCAAAAAAGTCGAAAATGGGATGTTAAAGTGACTCAAAATAGATTGCAATGCAAAAGCTACAGAGAGGGATCAAAGATTTATTTGGAATTTGGCGAAGTGATTTGAGGCGTCACAGACAGATGAGTTGATGTCATCATGTTATCGAAAACAGCCCTTGATTGTAGCTTATTTACTATTTAAAACAACATAATATTAAACATGAACAATATTAAATCGTAATTATTTTGGCGCATGTAAATTGTAAACAATAATCAAGTTTGTTTGTTTGTTTTTTTTTGTACATGATAAATAGTTGTGTGTCCCCGAAAAAAGCGGCGAGAATTTTATTTTTATTTTATGTAACAGACAACAATGATAAATAAAAGCACTTTCCCTCATTGACAAGCGATATCAGGCGATGACATCAGTGAGTCGCAATTGATCGTGTCTCGTTCCATCAAATATCAAACTTGGCCAAACCAATCTTATCACAGCTGGAAGTGATGATTACGAAATTGAATATACAACACTCTTTGGACTTTCCAATCATGTGAGAATAGAACGTTGATTTTGTTCGCGTCATAGAGAGAGAGAGAGAGAGAGAATACAATGTCACCTGTTTACGATCCACTTGAGAAAATTGGCCAATGGCATGCACCAGAATAAAAGTAGTCGTGTGATAAAAAAAAATTTGCCAATTAAAATTCACCAGCAAAGATGATAGAACAGAAATGAACTTCGACTTTGTATGCTTTGATTATTCGTTTAAAGACATTTTTTTGCATTTAAAGATTGTACGATCTCACATATAATCTTGAAATGCAAAAAAATTATCTTCAAACAAATAACGAATTCTTCAAGCCGAGAAAAAAAAATGCATAATCCATTTCCCGTGTATACGTCGTGCTACGACCGTGAATGTCCTCTATTGGCTCGAATAACTCATAACACTTCGTTAAAACTCAATGTATCAATTTCTCAGTTGTAATTGAAGATTATTTATATTTATATTTATATTTGGTTTGCCTTTTGTTTACGTTTCAGTCGATGAATTGAGAGCTGACCGAGCGCGTATTACGCTGAGTTTTAAAGCCGGAAGCAGGCACACACAACCGAGAATCAAAACAGCAGCAGCAGTAGCAGCAGCCACAATAACTACAAACAATAAACTGCATCAACATGAAATACACAAACACCAACGCAAATCCGTCTATTGAATGTGCGTACAAAGACGTTGTTGTCATCGGTAAGTACAATAATTGAATACCTGTTTTTCTTGTGTGTAAACGAAATGCTTTTTTTTTTGTTTGCCATTGTTGTAAATGACATATTTCATGCGTAGTAATTATCCAAAATGACGGTATTTAGAAATGGTCGAAGTATCATCATCAGCTAGCCCAGAAATTCTAAAATTATCACTTGACGATGCGTGTTCGTTGACGAAAAAAAAAAAACCCGTATTGATTTGTGATTTTCATGACCAATGATGTTCCATCCCTCTTGGAAAATCGACCTATGAAAATGACGCACCACGGCCACGGATAAAATTGTTTGACGAAGAAAAAAAAAATTTGAAGGTCAATTCTTAAAGCCGAAAAAAAAAATCGAAATTGTAAACATGACAACCGAATTCAATCGATTCGAATTTCGAATACTTGATGAAAGTGCGTATATATCATCGCAATGAATTATTCTGTCTAATTGCTTCATTAAAATGTCTGCTTGAATTTTTGATTGAGCACCCCAAACGTTCGTGGAAATTCCGACAGAATTTTCGATTAATCAAATGTTACATATATGGGACCACATCTAATCTGATTGTTTTATTCACGTGCTTGTGTTGACAACAAAGTACACAGATTTTTTTGTGTCTCGTCATATATTTGTTCCTTTATTGTTGTCTCAACGGGCGATGAGTTGTTTAGAATGAAAAAAAAAAAAAAAAACATATTGGTGCATTTACGCCGTTGATAAAAGCGGTTGATTAGAGACTAGAAAAAAAAGCTTACATGATTATATGACAGCGACTCTAAGCCAAACGGTCTGATAACATTTCAATCGTTGCCGCGTCATTATTGTCGTTTTTTTTCCGCTTGCGACGCATTCGCATCAACTAAATGCTCACATTATTTTTGAATGCAACAATTTTAAATGCCAATGTGAAATTGATGAAATTGTAATCGATTAGACATTGTAAACGTGGCCGCACATTTACATCTAATTAACATCGGTGAATGACGTTAATTGTTAACGGCTTGCATGATTGATGGTGTTACAAAATGTGTTGTCTGTCTATCGCCAAGCATTGTCAGTGTATTCTGGAAAATGAGACACTTAACGACAGCTGAAAATAGACAAGAGAAGAAGAAGAAAAAAAAAACGCACACGAACCAACATGATACCTCATTAACAAGGCACAGAAAATGAAATAAAAATCCCATTGAATGTGATTCAAGTTTATTATTAAACGTGTGCCATTTTATTACAGCAAAAGATATAAAATCATCATCATAATTTGATGAAAATGTGCCGTTGATCAATCTGTCGTCTACGATGTTAGTATTGTTATCAGAGAGAAAAGACGCATTCGCGTATACGTTCATGGCTAAAAATGAAATATGAATAAAATGATAGACTTGTTGTTCTTGCTAAGAGACACATGATTTCACGTATGTGCTGTCTGCTGTGAATCACGAATGCCCCCGTACGGACCGGACACGCTCACATGCCGCGAACAAAACGAGCAGGCGCAACGTTCCTATCATCGTGTTGTGTACTTTTTCCTTTAGTTTACCGTGTTTTTGTGTCCCGGTTTATCTTCTTCTCTGAATTGATAACTGACATCGAAAGCATTCTCCTACAATCATAATCAAAATGTACTTTCTAGGCTGTAAACACAGAACGTTCGAGAAATTGTAAAACACCGGTGAAAATCAAAAGTACGGCACAGAATTATTTTTTACATATTTTATGTAACTTTATGGGATCAAACATCTCATGGAATGTTGGTGGAAATCTTTTTATCGGCTTTTAAGTTTGACTCTTGTGTTACTCATGGAATGAAAAGAGTTTCGACACAACAATGTCATCAACAACAAGTGGCTAGAAGGCTCTATCTTCTATGTGCTCCAAAAAAAAAACGCATTCACAAGATTTACGATGTTGTTTGTATAAATTCAGTCAATTGGCCAATGTCGTTATATTGAGCAATTCAATTGATTAAATTACTATATACACTCAATTCTTTCACTCATGTTTCTTTCTCTTTCTCCCTTTCGTATGGTGCATACGATTCATTATCGCTAGGCAACGGACCAAGTGGAATTACATTATCTTATATGTTGGCGGGTAATTGGCCGCATTGGAATCCACAAGATATCAACAATCATCCTGATGAATTGTTGCGCGCCCGATTAGAATGCGCCGACCCCAGTAAAAGTCTCGTCGAACAGGATTTAGTACAGTTGGCCGAAGGTCTTGAGGGTCGTAGCACAAATCCCGTGTCATTGTTGGTAAGTCATTGAGAAGAAAAAAAAAAATGAACGCTGCTCATACATTTTAGACATTCTTTTATCGCCGACGAAAATTCATTGACTGAACGAAAAAATGAACTAATTTTGGTTTCTTTTTCTTTCCGATTATTTTCGCACTGTGCAGTTAGACAGTTTACAAAATCCATGTGCTGATATAGGACTCGAAGTGCCATCAATGCTTTGCTACCGTTATCAACCAGATAAAGAAGTAAGTGTCGTGTCATGTCATCACATTACTGCTTACACCCAACAAGACTGATTACTATGAATCAATTTGAAATATTTCTGGAATGCTTGACTGTTATATTAAGACACACGGTTATCTGCCAATTTTTTGAAATTTTTATCATTTTCGAATTTTTTTTGAGTCGTTGTAATTTTTTTTTTTTTTTTGCAAAATCGTAAAATTGAATGAATGAAATAGATAAAACACAGCTGTGAATGATGATAAGAGTGTAATTCATGGTTTGTAATGGGTTTTATTTATGTTATTGTTGTAGATTGACCACGTTGTACTGGGTACAGGAGCACCGGGTGGTTCATGGCATAAAATGGATCCAAATCTACGAACGTTGTCATTAGCGGCATGGATGTCATTGCCAGGTTTAGACTTTAATACGTGGAATGCAAAACGTCAATTGGACGCAGCCAATGAAAAGGAAACGGCCACAGAGATAAAACAACTGAAAAAGAAACCAAATTGTAATAATAAAATATGCGAGAACAATTGGTGGCGATGCTTTAGTAGCAATCGCAACAATAATACAACGCAACTCATTTGCGAGAAGAATGAAGTCTATCCCAATACAAAATCACAACCAAAAGCCGAACTCAATGATATAGAAGTTAAATTAAACAATGATAATACAACGGTTAGCACTGAACTTGTACGAACGCCGGTGCCACGGCGAGTACTTTCCGTACGAAGACAAGTGTCACGCGAAGTTCAAACCAGAGCATTGGTCTCTGATGTAGCCCAATACTATGAAAATTATGTGAAAGAAATGAATTTGGAACGATACTTTCATAATAACACACTTGTGACTTGTGTTAAACCAATTTTAAGCTCAACCAACAAACACGTACGATGGCTTGTCAGGGGCATTCAAGCGAATGGTACACTCTTTGCCTATACATGCCACAATGTCGTTCTTGCCAACGGTGCATCCGATTTGGCCAATCGACTGGGCGTCAGCGGAGAAGGCTCAAACGAATGGGTTAAACATGATTTACCTGCACTGCTATCAGTACTCGAACAAATTCCCGACGTCGAACGACCAAGTTAGTACACTTTTTATTTAATAAAATCATTATTTTTTGCATTTTTGATCCATCTCTATGAATCCACCTTGTGTCCACTGGAGATGTTTTGCATTCATTACCAATTAACTTATGAACCGTTTGTTTCATTTGCAGAATTGAAGCCGGTGTTAGTGGTGGGTGCAGGTTTGAGTGCTGCAGATGCGGTGACAATATGCAAATCGTCTGGCATCAATGTGATTCATGTTTATCGCAATCGATCGGCTGGTCTTGACAAGATGCTACCTGAAACCGTTTACCCGGAATATCATGAGGTGAGTTTGCACTCTCGATTCAAATTCTCATTCTTTACTCTTTGAATAAAACTAATTTCCGTTTCCATTTCGTTTCCAGGTGCACAAAATGATGAAAGACAGTGTAAATACGTACGATTTATATGCACCAATGCCGGAGCATACGATCATCGAATTTATTCCGGGTGGTGCGGACAGTTTAACGCCGTGCCATAAAGTGGTGCTCAAACAATTGAATACGGGTGAAATAACAACGGTCGAAGTATCGTATTGTGCGATATTGATTGGTTTTCGACCGGATTTGCAGTTCTTAGATCCGAATACTAAGCAAGACGATATCAAAACAATCGAATACGAATCGTGCAATGAATCAAACTACATATTAAAAGACAGTCTGTTGTCACCGTACATATTGCTCAGCCGTAAAATAGCCTGGCTGAAGAATTTGTGCGCAAAATGCAAGCACTTGAGTATCTGTGAACGTAGTCGCAAATACAATGCGGCCGTGCATCGTCGGCCGATTCACTGCACTTGCACAAATGATTCCCAAATCAAGCAGAATATCAAAGCCCATAATGACAATAACAACAATAACAACAATAATAACAATGTAAATAGTAATTGTGATAATCAGCTGAAGGATGGTCAAGTGGAGAAAAAGTTATGTGGTGTTGTGGTGGCGGAGTCAAAGTCAACGGTGCTATCTGGTGGTTTGGGTGAAGATTCAACAAAACCCGTGGATTGTAAAACCAATCCAATGGCCGTAGACAAGTATACCAATGAAGTGTTGCATGTAGCAATGAAGGGCCTGTTTGCAATGGGCCCATTGGTTGGTGATAATTTCATTCGATTTATTCCGGGTGGAGCGCTTGCCATCACAGCGGCGCTGTGGAAACAACGATGACCCAGCACAATAATTCCACCAAATTGACACACGGTGACAACACAAACATATACACACACCCAGCTCTGTCTTCTCTACTATGAGGAAAGTGATTAAAACTTCAGGAGTGAAACTGCCTTAAATATTTGCCAATTACAAAACAATTTAATGGAGCAAACTAACTCATTCCAACACACAGAGTTCAGACGGAGAGTCGAAGAGACGGAAAGACGGAGAGACGGAGTTCGTTTATGTCTGAAGGCTGTACATTTATCTTGAGTGGACAACGCGACAAAAGAAACTCTATTGTTGACTTACTTAGTGGTACAGCTAAAGCTCTTATTTCCATTCTTAATTAACCAATTGTATAAAAGAGATAACTTCCGCAATGCGAAGTTTTTTTTAATTGTTTATTTTAACTATGTCATTTTTTTTTTAAATTGAGTCATATCACAGAACGAAAACAGCAGTTGCTAGTTCGATCAGCGATAAAATTTTTTAAATAATTTATTTTTTTTATTTTGAATATATAACCTTTTTTTTGGGATCTAAATGTTAGTTCCGTTTATTTTTGTATATTTCGATTTAAATGTGTAAAAATTGCGAGAATGTATAAAATTTTTAAATGAATCAACCATTTGGCTTGTGATATGTTTAAGTTAAAGCCAAACAATCAATGGACATTGTTTTGAGTGCCCTTTTTTTTCTAGGAAAAAGATAATTGAAATTGAATATCAAAGAAAATGAATCTAAAATGGCCCAAAATCAAAAGAAAAATTAAATGAAATTTGTTTTAAATACCTTTGATAAGAACGAAATAAATGATAACTTTCAAATCATCACCTAGAAAGCAAATGGTTTTTTTTTTCTATCAAATTAACTACATCTTTATTAAATACTCTGGTTTTTTAATAGGTAACAACAACAATAATTTTTTTTTCTCATCTAAAGAACTACTATTCATATAAAACAAGTGATTCAACAATGGAAAACAAAAAATTCCCAGCGATTGGCTCATCAGATTCATCAATCAGCCGAAGATAACAAAAAAAAAACAACAACAAAAAACAACACGTCTCATCGTTCACTTTTTTCTGTTTGCGCTCCTTCTGTTTTTATTTTTTTTGTAGATCCCACTCCCCGATTTCGATCGAAACGGAGAGAAGGTAAAACCACTTATCTTATTTATCTATCTTTATACGCTTAATTGAAGATATGATCCTGGAAAATGTACTTTAAAATTCGCTCTTTAAGCCGCTGCAGGGCATTGCTATTTGGATGCAACACCTCGGGCACTGATGATGATACATCGCGTTGATACACCTCTTTTGAAATGCTGTTTGAACTCTCCGGTCCGCGATCTGTACTATTAATGTTGCCAATTATATTGAACGGATGGAATCGACTCGTTTGGGCAAATAACTCACCGGACACTTGCCTAAATATATGCAAATTTTGAGAGAGAAAAAAAAAACAAGAGAATATATCATTGAAATCAAGGAACAATCATTAAAATTGATTCTTCTTGCAAATCGATGACTTTTTTTTGTGCCATGAATCACATTTAAATGGCATACAGTGGCCAATTAGAGACGTAATTATACTTCATTAAATGCGAATGATTTCAATGGAATTTTGAAGATATTTATGAATGGAACAAATTTCAATAAGCAAAAATCACAGAAAAATTGAAATACAAGTTTCTGTTTAAAAAAAAAACCAAACCACAACCAAAATCTGTAATGAATGAAAAAAAAAAACTGAAAAATTCCATAAAAAATGATGAGGAAAACACAAAGAAATGTTCCTGTTTGAACTTGCTTAAAAATGACCAATCAAACTAAACAAACATAGTTTGAAAAAACTGCGAAAAAAATTGAGAAGAATGAGATGAAAATGTCAATTTACACTTAAATAAAAATCCATTGTAAGTGTTACCATTTACGATTTTCCATGTAGCCCATTTTGAAACTCTGCGGCCAAAATTTGGCCATATGCTTCGAAACACAATCGGATGGTTTGTCGATCGCATAAAAATCATGATCGAAGGCATTCACATACCTAAAATGAGAGTTGAATTTTCAAAATGCGTTGCTATTTGCATAATTTCGACATATGTCTGAATATAGGGGAAACCCAAAGACCATAATAATAGCGATAAACCATGTTAATACTTTAATTTGATCGAACTTGACTCACATGTATGGGCACAATCCGTGAGAACCCAATGGAGGACTATTCGATGCAACTTGTGTGAGGCCGCAATTTCCCAGTCGCCAATCTGTTGCGCCACAGAAAAATTGGACGCCGAAAAAAAAAAAATTGATTAAAAATTTTAACCGAACGTTTTTTTCACATTTATTCTTCAATTTATAAAATTAATCCAATTTTGCAATTTTTGTCTAAAAACTTTTTCATTCATTTTCTTTCTTAATTACCTTGATGACAATTATAGAATCGGGTTCCCTTGTCTCGACTCGTGTGAATGCCTTATTTGAAAAAAAGAAAAATGAATGTTTTCATTGGAACATTTTTGAAAATAAGCCAAACAAACTTATAATACCAACATTGAACGTTCTGTGCCGCATCGCGGTGATCTGGTTGGGTGGATCGGTGATCGAACCCAGGTCCAGCCATGTCGCATGCTATTGACGAAAGAAGAAATAATAATAACAAAAAAAGAATGATTTATAAATAAATCTATTTAGTGGGAAGAATAATCCGTAAATAGTCAAAATCAAACGCGTAAGATGGTCAGATCATTCTAGGAAACGATGCTAAATATAGCACAAATGAATAAATTTGACAATGATCTTGTCGCATGAGGCTTCTTAAAACTGGTTATGTGGTTTTATAAAATGGTCAGTAAAATACGAGGAAGTTGAAATACTGAATGTCGCTCTTTGACCACTATGTTTGATGTTGTTGCTGTTGTTGTTTTTGTTTGTTTGCAAATAGATCACGCAAGAATAGATAGTTTCTTATATTTTGGGACCGTCGAAGGTGTATTGTGCGAAATTTGAAGGTAGAACTTCCAATCGTGGATGCATCGAAATGGGCTTGATTATGTCAAATACTCATTGACATTGAAGATGAACCGTGTGAATTGGCATCGTTGATCAAATGATCAAAAATGTCAATTGTTATGCGCTATGTACTCCATTTACGTATGCTATTTACCTTGAATTCATTCGCATTAAATATGCTAAACGAATGTGTTATCAATTGAGAGAGTGACTCTGACGAGTAACAGTGATATTTGGAATTGATTGACCTCAAAGCAAAAATACAACTCAAATGTATATGACTTACTGTCGATTTCTTTGAGCCGTTTGTAACCGAAGCGTCGGCCGGCTTCGGTGGCCAGCTGACCGCCATAGCTGAATCCAAACAAATAGCCATTATTCATGTCGAATCCCATGTAATCCAGCAAATGCAGTTGCAGTGTCAACACTTGTGCCATTGGATCGAATACACGCACCAAACGAACGTAACTCTCGGCTGCATATTGGCTGTAGTCCATGCATATCAAGCATCCACCGCGATATGTGCCCAATTCTTGTTGTTGTTTTTTTTTTTTTGGAATTGAGATCAGGTCACATTAAAAAAAATTTATTAACGTATTTCAGATTTTTTGTGCGGGAAAATTCCTCACACAGCCAACCGGACAGAGCGAAAGAAGGAGAAAAACTGATATCGAAAAAAAATATCGTTGGATTCAAACTAACTTTTAATTAACTGCTTCATCCATGTTGTGTTGCATGATTCACGCCAGCCGTGCATTAAAATTGCAAATCGACCGTTCCGATGGCATTGCCCAACTAACAAATCTTGCGGCTTACTAAAATTTGATTCATACAGTAAATCTCCTTCGCTGCACAAACAATAAAAAAAAAAACGAGAGACGCAGAAAAGAAAGAAAGAAGAAAAAAAAAACAGAGAGACATTTGAATTGCATGTTACAATGTTGTTTGCTTTGGAAACAAGAAATCGTTCGCAAAAAAAAATATGATAAACGAGAGAATTTTTCAGTCGCTGTTTTTTCATCGTTGATTTGACCAAATTCGCAAAAAAAATTGAAATCATATTCAAATTTTTTCTTAAACGAGAGGGAAAAAACGTGGCTAACTCGTGTGGCGGTCATGAAATTTAGAGCCCGTTATTCACGGTTGCGATTCTGATCTATAGCAACACAATTTATTTTATTTTTTTTCACTTCCATTTTGGCTGCCATATATTCTAAAAAAAAAAAAACCTCTGAATTTATACGATTTCATAATCTAAGCGATTCAATTCCCGACAAAGGCTTTGTTTTATTACACGGAGTGCGACTTTTACTTTACTTTGGTTTGTTGCACATGGTTATTTCTGTTATATTATATTTTTTTCTGTTTTATTATTGAACGATGCGAGAGTTATTGATGTCGTTTGTTATTTCTTTTATGGCATTTATGTTTGCATCTTCCATATGGATTTTCAAATGGCTGTGCGCGAATGTCGATAAAACTATCGAGGTCAAAACCGAACAATCTATTATGCAAGACTTATTTTACATCCGTACATCGAACTGTCGGAACTGATGGTGGTAATTCAAGCGCGGCCATTAATTTCGGAACTACCTAAGTCGACATTTGTTGCATCCGATCGTACACTAATTTTCCGATTCGATTGTTGTTGTTGTCGTCGTTTTCTGCTCGACTGACCTAAAATTGGATCGAAAATCACACGCGATATAAGTAGAATGACATCGATTTTTTTTTTAATTTTCAGGGCATTTTCACCGGAATTTTTCTTTTTTTTCAACTCTTTTTTAACGGTTAATCGCATGCACCCAATTTTTGTCCATCTCATTTTATACGATTCTTTTGAACTTTTTCTTTTTTTTTTGGAAATTCTGTTTTAATTTTGGTGTTGTCGATGTTTCCCGTAAGCAAAACTGGTAATCAACGAGACTTCTTCAAACAGTAATTATATCTTTCACCTTTCTTATTTTGGCCGTGCCACGATTTTCATCTTCAAATTTATGCGATCGCTTTTTTTTTCTCGAATTCTCGATGGGCTCCAATTTCGAATGTGTTATATGTTATTTTTTTTTGTGTTCGATATATACGCGCGCGCACAAGCACCACACTGGCTTTTGTTCACTATATATGTTTTTTTTTTTAAATATTTATTGTACGTAATGCGGATTGTTTATCTTTCCATTTCAACTGATCACTTTCGTTTCGGTTTTTATTTGCTTAATTCTGTTTTTATGTGTGTGTGTGTGTGTGTCTAAGAAAACGTGCACAAAAACGGTCGTTGTTGTGGAGAGTGAATTGAAAATGGTCGTTTGATGATGGATCATTATTATGCATTCGATGGATCGATCAAATCGATCACTTCGAATCGGTTATGGTATATTATATGGTTTCAAATGGATATGATTCGCACAAAATTCACGAGTATCACTTACGTATTGTAGTATTTGAAAAAGATATTTCCGGCTAATTCGGTGGCATTACGTTGTCTGGATTGAATGAAAATTCCGAGCTGTGAAAAGATGTTGCCCAATTCTTGTGGCTGTGCCTGTATCGACTGTGATCGTTGATTTAATGATTGCCGTTGAAATTCAAACCAATTACTATGGATGCGATAGGGATCGTTGCCGTCATTGTTAGCAATCGATCGGATGGAATTTTTTGCAGCGGTCACCACAAATATTGGGCAATTCACAAACAATACGATCCCAATTAGCCCGATTGTAATAAACTGACGAAATGAATATCCAAAATGATGGCTACAACGGCTCGGGAAATTCTCCGTATTTCGTTTACCTAAACTATTTGTATAACTATTAATTTTGGCTGTGGCCGATGTGCAACATTTGTGACACCGCCAACGATTATTATTATTTTGAATAAATCCGAGGCGAGCGTTTCGCACGATTGCCATTGCTGCTGCTGTTATCTGCTCTAGTGATACTGAACGTGCCGCAGCTTTGGACGTCTTTGTTATTATGATCATTTTGGCGTCGCTTTACCACTAATTATCTCCTCGTATATGCTGTTTTTTTTCTCTCTCTCTCTCGGTTAAGACGTCTCTTTTTTGTACGCTTTTGCATACTTTGTGTATATTTAGCTTGCGCGCGCGTATCAGATGGTTATATCTCGTTTTCTTCTTCTTCTTCTTCTTCTTTGGCTATCCTTATGTATTGTATGCGAGTAATCTTTAAATGTATGACACACTCGCTTCACTCTCGTTTGGCATACTTCCACTCACTCACTAACTCACTCACTCTTTTATGTGTAAACATTGAGGCGCGCGCGCGCACACACGACTAACAACACCATGCTTGATAAAAACTAAAAACGACGAAAATGACGACCACAACAGCGATTTGATTATGTCGACAATGTGGAAAAAAGAAACTTAACTTGAGATCGACTGTGTCCGTCATCTCAATTCGCATCGATCAGGTGTGCTGTATGTGTGTGTGTGTGTGTGTGGACTTATGCGCTTGTATTTGTCTATGCATGTTTACGTTCGATGTTTTCCTA